CTGTGTGAGAAATCGGTGGTCGTCTGTTCTGTTCACCGCTACCTCCACCCGATTCTCCCTCGCTGCTGTTGACTGGATGTGTGATGACGCAATATTTTAGTAAGCTACTAATTTCTGAAATTTGTTTTACGGAAACGCACATGGTTTTCCGAATTTCCCGAAACGCAAATAGTATCTGATCGAATACGCAATGGACTACACACCGAAAACTCTCACCGACCACAAGGAGCTCTGCAAGTCAACTTAAAAAGAATGTTTCACGCACGTCTCCGATTAGCAGGCACTTCTTAGGAAATTGCACCCATTCCTGGTGCAGCTGGGCTGTTGGCAGGTTGAGACTTACCGCCGTAGCGTGTCTTCGTGATCCAGCCGGGGAAAGCCGCAAGTGAGGCAAAAGTCTACCATCGGAAAGTTAAGCTTGCAATGTACGAACCGATTGTTAAATACGTCGTGTACATTTTTTCTGGTGGAGAATGAAAATGTTACAGGAGATGTGCGCTTGAGAAATGAGACGAAGTTACGTTTGCTCCTAAGTTATGTTTACTTCTACACATATGTGTCAGTGGAAAGGTCATTTTCAGCTTTCAAAATGGTTGTAACAGATAAAGGACAGAGCCTTACTGCAGAAAATTTGGAAAACATATTGGTTATATACTATACTGCTAATTCTGAAAGTGAATAAAATAATATGCTAAAATAATATGCGTAGGATCTCTCTGGGAAGTAGGATAACATGCGTACTTGCATCGAGACCTTTGCATTTCTGACTTCAGATTCTGATTCAGCACGTTGAATTACAAAGATAAACATGTGTCAAGTCTTTCTGTCTGACACCTTCTTTATTTTTTGTGCTTGTGTAATTCTCTAAAGATTGTGCTGGACATCAAATTTGAACCTTTACAAAGCAGTAATAAAGGTCGTAATGATATTTCGAAGAATTGAAGTAAAGACAACCACGGTTTTATTCTTCGGGAAAGAGAAGAATAAGTCTTTAAATTACAAGTGTTTAATTGCGAAGTTTCCTAATTGCCGAATAATTCCTGGCGTTCCCTAAATTCTCCAAACGTCCAAAACCTTATTATTGCAGAATTTGTCCTCTATTCAATTAAATGTTTTCGGAAAGTAAGTGTGATTTTAAAAGGGCGAGTAAATCTTAGAACTTACGGGCGACTAAAAGTATGCATTTTCTATTTGACAGTTTTCCCCTCTGTAGTAAATATTTTTTTGTCTTCATCATTTTAACTAGCTGATGAACGTATGATGAAATAATGATTTTCAATGCCATCTAATAATACGAATGGCAGTGGTATCGGGAACATGACCTTGACACTGACTCAGGTTCAACTTGATAAACGAATGCCAAATAAATACGCCTGCTATTCCACAGATCAATAAAGGATTGCTACTCGTCTGCGGGCTTAAACACACACATGTTTATACACCCACCTGAAGAGGATCTATTTAATTAGCTCTAATAATGTTTGAAACAAGATGCCACGCATGCATAAATGATACAATATGCAATCCTCTCGCCGAACATTACTATTTTTCTCGAGAAATTTGCATAAAATATTCTCAATTAACTGTAATAATGTTCAAGATGAATCCATGATCTTGCTTCTCATGTGAAAAAAAAACATGTGTTTTCCAAGATAAAAATAAATGAATGTAGAATGAATTATAAAGAATAGTTAAAAATTCGCAATGTAATACGAGGGTCGCTATGAAAGTTTTGAGATACAGAAAAAATAAGAAACTTGAAATAATTTTGATAACTATATTTTTTCAAAATACTCGCTACAACATTCTATACATTTTTGCATTCTCAAAAACTAATTTCAAAACAGTTTTTCCACTCATTTTCCTCGAGTACAAAAAGTTAACTTTTGTAGGCATCAACAGCATCTTCAGATCTTCAAACCTCCTTCTTTGCATCAGACTTTTGTCTGTAGGCAACTAATCATAAGGGGCCCGGTCAGAAATGTAAGGTCTGAGTCTGAGTCATTAGATTAATCTCTGTTGACTCCAGGAAGTACATAGTGAGATTGGCCATGTGCGCACACGCAATGGCATGGTGCAGGACGATTCCTCACAGTCCTGTCTTCGACCGTCGTTCTTGAAGGTTAGCGAAACCTTTTGATGGGCATATTGTTGTGTACCACTTATCAGTAACAGTTCCTTATTCTCCCAGGGGAACAGTTGAGACGTGACTGCTTTTGGAGCAGAATGTTGCAACCATTTTCTTTCTGACGCTTCAAGGACGCTTAACCTTTGTTGGTGGATGTTCCTCGGGAAAAATCCATACAGTAGACTGGCACATATTTTTAGGATCGAACTGATAAATCCACGTTTCGTCACCAGTAAGTATGTCAGAAACGCGCCAAGAGTTGCCTCCCTTAAATCTTTTCAGCATTTCTTCACGCCATTCCACACGAATGCGCTTCCGTCAAAGTGTGAGGTGCATCGAGATGAAACTTTCCTGACTCGAAGCAGCTTCATTCGTGCAGGATTTTGGAATCTGCCGGCGATCCAATCTGTAGGACCTCTTCAGTGTCCACAAACGTCGCACGATTGTTCTTGCGCACTAATTTTTCCACAGCGACGATGTTTTCTTCAGTAACTGCAGTCGCCGGACGCTCGCTCCTCTCCTCGTCTTTCCAACAAAGTTCTGCCTCTTCTGAAGTCTTGAAACCACCGAAAAATTATTGCACGAAAGGTCGCAAGGTCCCAGAAGGCCCATTGCAAATCATTAAGGCTTTCAGATTCGTTTAAACCAGTTCTAACGTCATAAAGAATCATTGCACGAAAGTGCTCTCTTGTCATTCTGTCTGTTGTCATTCTGACAACTGAATTCCGTGTCAACGAAAAGAAATGTAGGCCTCTTAGCAACAGTGATACGCCAACCAAGGTCCAATTTGAACCCATTACTCAGAAATTAGCAGGAGATGAACGTAATAAAAAAGCGTCAAGGAACTCACGAGGAATGGTATTTAAAATGTAATACCACGGAACAACACCTCCAATAAATAAAACCTCCAATTGAAATGATTCAATAACATTATTCAAGTCAGGTAGAATAACCTATATACACAGGAGACAATACAAGCCTAGTATTAATCGCGCAACTTTCCTTGAACCTCGCTTGCCCCTCTCTGGCACAATAAACAGTAGAAGGCAAAAGCTCGCAGCGAGCAGTGATGACAACATTTCAAACACAATTTTCACTGGCGCCAAACAGAAACTAGTTTCTGTTAAGGACATAAGAACTTCTGTCCATAATTTTCTCCAAAATATCTAAAGACATGACCGAAGCAGGTGAAGATCTATCACAAGAGATACCTAGTACTCCTGGGAAAGTTAGAACGCAAATTATTGAGACAGTTGCGAAGGCATGATTGATTCTCCAAGAATTGGCATTGCTTCATAAAACCTAGTGGCCGATTTCGTAACTAATACCCCCGCTCTATCCGCATTTCTTCAATCCATCGTTCAAGAAAAGTTGCGCGAGTAATACCTATTATACTCGTGAAACTCTTCTCAGGAGAACTGAAACCGGGAGAGATGGCTCAGGGCATCAACGGATGTCACTACAGTCCATGAAAACGGATCGGCGGTGAACCGTCGAGCGTTGGAGGTAACACTCATTCTGAGAACTCACTTAGGGATAACGACACCTGGTCATAAGTGTTGTTAGAAACCGGATGCGTCGCGAAATCTTGACGGCGTGTTCAGTTTATATATATATATATATATATATATATATATATATATATATGTGTGTGTGTGTGTGTGTGTGTGTGTGTGTGTTTACGTTTGTGTGTGTGTCTGTGTGTGTGATATTGTTTACAGGTGGGAAGCAAAAAAACCTCATGCAGGGCGATGATAATGCAAGAGATAGTGATGAAGCCGTTTACAAATGAGTTAACTGTAAACGAACGCACTGACAAAATGAGTGCGTGGACATAACCTGCAGTTATGGTGCAGGTGGCCAAGCAATAGCTGTCAAAGCAGTCTCTTCTTATAATAATTTCTCTATTCTGTATTAGGGTTCGAGTTCCGACGATGGCGAATTTTCGGTTCCGGCTTCATATCTAGGTCGAATTCCCCAGCTCCGATCGATAGTGTTTCGTGGTCTATTCGATCAATACCATGTGAATGCCTGAGCAGTACTCTAACAAAAGAATCATGGACCGCGCGCGACGCTTCCTCCCTCTTCTTTATTCTATCCTTTCACAATGCTTATCCAATTACACTTTACACTTACACTCATTACACTAAAAGACATGTCGATAGACCAGTCGGGAGCCTAGAGTTTATCCTGGAACTGAAACTCGGAGGAGAGAATCACGGAGGAGAGAGACACAGTTACCTCCCAGGATAAAACATTCACTGATGGGACTAATAATGAACGTAGCAGTTCGCGTGCCTAGAAGCATCAATAGTCCGTGGTGTTAATCAAATCCACCCGTGGTCCCAGATGGCCGAGATCGCTAAGGCAGTAGTGGCCGTAGCAATCTCGGACCGAAGGATCGCGGGTGCTAGTCCCGCCTCGGGCATGATTGTATTGTATTCGTCCTTTCACACCCCTGTCATCACCATCATCATCATCATCATATCGTGTCATCCTCATAGTTACCATACCTTTGCACGCAGTTGTGTTCAATAATAACCTAGTAGTTGATGCGACTTTAAATTTAAAAAAAAACAAAAAAAAAACGCTTCTTCGGGGGTAGTTACACTTGTTCATTTCGAAAGGTGTGGCACGTAAAGCTTGAAGAACCGTTTAAATACCAAAATAAGCTGAAACACTGATGAATTTGACTTACGCAACTACGAATCACTGCAGTTTCCTGTTTCAAAGAAATAAATATAATCGAAGTATAGAATAATGACAATTTTCTTTCTTCTTTTTACATTCTGGGAGGGGTGAGTATATTACACACCGGTAACCTAGGACAGAAACGCCACCAGCTCCCGAGATAGAGCATTAGTAAACTCACCGAATTGTCCGCGTCCCTTGCGGTTGTGGCCATCATCGCCAGCCACACGACGTCCGTGGCCTCTCGGATACTGTACATGTCGCGTTGTGGCGGCAGGAGACGTGGTGCTGTTCGGACTGCGGGCCAAGGAGGGTCGAGCGATAAGCTGTTTCTCTCTGTGCAAGCCTCCCGCCCCCCTGCGCTTCCAGTTCCAATCCTTCAAGCCGATTTCAAAGAAACTACAGATTATGTATATGTCTTTCAATCAGTGACGACTGGTGCCCTCTAACAAACTGGAGGTTGCATCTCCATCGAATGTCGGCAATGTAATTTCCAAAATTCACATTACTAATATATAATACAGTCTAAGCAATTCATTTACATTAAAACATCGAATCTAAGTCAAATACAAGTCTATAGTGAAACATTACTTACATAATTTTATGCGTAGGGTTCGTGTCAGGAATGTTCTCCTCCCGCGCACGTGGTTCTGCTTTTGATTTCCAGTGCACACTCAAGTTTGTATTAGTTATGCATTGAGATAATTGACGGTAATAGAATTCACACAAAACAAAAAAGAACTTTTCGAAAATACGGTGATCACAATCCAGCACTTTGCAACAAGCACTATTGTTTGCCACGTTTCACTCAAATAAAATTATTTTATTTCGAAAATTTCACTACCCGGTATATATTACAATAATAAAATATCTTACACACACACACACACACACACACTCATATTCACAACAACGCTCGCAAACTGTCACAGCTGAATTGATGGGATTCAGCAATGCCCCAACAATTGTGGGTTCATACGCGAGCGACAGAATGAGCATTTCTTCCATAATACCCATTTTTACACAAATGACTCATCAAATGTACATTTTGAATCAACAAACCTAACATCGAATGAAAATAAATTCTCCAAACATCATAAATAATTCATTCAATACTTGTCAGTATTGACTGACTCAATTTGTGTTCTTTCAATAACACGCGAAATTCATCAAATTAAGTTGCAGCTATTATCAGAAGAAGACAGATTCTTTAAAAAATTATTGGTATTTGATGATTGGTACATAGATAAGTCATTTACTAACTTATACTATACTTACAACTATAAAATGGGAGATGATTCCCATATGGGTGCTTTAATAAGGTTCCAATTCAGCGAATTTGATGAGGAATAAACGATGCACGTTTTTTAATTATGCGTTTTGTCTAGTCTAAACGACACCAGAGAACGGATTTGATTTAAGGCTAAATGCACCGAAAAATACTTG